AATGTGTGTAACTGCACATCACACTTCAAATCTTGGCGGTGAAACGTATCAGACTTAAGTGGGATTGAAGATAAGGATAAGTTTGAGGTTTAGATCATAATTTTCGCTACTCTCAGATTCAAAGCCCTAAAAGCTGGGAACATTCCCGTTTCACAGACGGGGCTTTTCCATTTAAGGCTCTAGTCGTCTACCACTATCGCATCATTTTTAGTCCATAAAAAATGTGTTAAAAAATCTGAATGTCAACAAGCTTCAATCCATTTACCTCTTACGCTTGGTCTCCTTGAGCAGTTCTCGTCCGCTTTGTCGGAAGCCATCTTCATCGAACAACAAGCAAAAAATTGCGGTCATCACGGTTGACATGCTCTTTTGAACCACACACGTTGAAATTTTGTACCTCGGCGCTATCTAGATGTAGATTGTTTTTTATGGATCAAATTATAGTAATGAAATGTAAGAGAAGTGTGAAAATGTACGTCTATTCAAATACTTTATTTTCTTAGCGTTAATTGAATATTACACACTAATGCATGGATGTTAAAAACGTTGGCATAAGTTTTTTTCTAGAAAAATGCACTGCGTCTTACTGTCTGCGTCCACAAACAATCAACAATTCGAAATTGCGTTTTAACATATTTCATCTCAAATCTATTCATTTCTTGATTCGAAGCTTTTCAGATTTTCTTTTTAGACAAAATTTTCCCTGAATGCTCTCCTCAGTGGGAATCTATTAATACAAGGATTACAAGGAGTCGATTACTTGTGTTTTATACCCTATCTCCCCCATTGCCGATTAGATTTCTGGGTTTTGTACAAAGTACGTAGCTGCACAGAACTTTCGTTTCAATCAATTGATTTAAAAAGATATTATTTATTGTGCAATCCTTTGTAAAAAAGAAAACTACTATAACTAGGTTCATGCTAACGCAAACTCTGAAATAGATGGAACTTTTAGAGTAAATTTGAAAATTAGAAGAATTCCAAAATATTGAAGTAAATGATTAATGACTTGTATCGATTTCTAGCAACGCCTACAGACCCGAAACTCCGCTTCGAAATTCTTCAGTGGTGGTATGCAAAAAAGAACTGAATGGTTGCCGCACATTTCGTTGGCACTTCGTGTATCCGTCCGATTCGGAAGTGGCTAAAGTTAATAATTGAAAAGGAGATTAACTAAATCACATCTATAGAACTTACATCGCTATTGAACTCTTCGACAATGTCCATTTCAGAAAGCTCCAAACTTTTTCGTCGAGGCACTTTACCTAATCTCCTATGGTATTTTTGTATTTGCTTTTCTAGACTTAATTCTAATATTGGATTATGTCCAATCATTCCATCAGATCTTTTTAAATAAGAATATGCTAGAAAAATTGCAATAATAAATAGCAATACTGTATGCAGATGAACTATCATGTTTATAGAGGAGAATATCTATAGACTTTAATCGGACGATGGCGGATTCAGTGTGATTATGCGAGCGGATTAAATTGGAATTATTGTTGCAACGTTATGAAAAATTTGGGAATCTTTTCCGAAAATTTGTAATAGAAGGACCAAATAAATTTTTTAGACAAAGGCTAAGTAACTGGGTCTTTTTGGAAGAATTTCCTCTGTCTTCCTCATAACGAAGAAAATCGACTTTTTTTCAGAGTGATGTGTTTAAATATTCTTTTCTCTCCTTTGCCGAGTTTTCTCATAGTTCAACTGAATGAATTAAAACCACAAAAAATTAGAAAAAAAGCGATATAGATATATTCCACAAAGTTTGCCATTCGCTATCTAAGAAATAAACAACTAGGTATCTTAATTTTATTTGAATGGTTACTTGCGGCACGTAGAGTTGAAGTCTATAAAGCCGCTAAGAAGACAATGCGAATTTACTTCTCAAGCATTTTGCTCATTTGTAACGCAAAATATTTAC